TTATTTTTGAAGAAGAAAGCAGGAATGGCAAGAGCATATCCTGACCATTACATTTTCTGACTCTGAGAACAAGCTTTTTCCCCTTCGCAAAGTCAGGACGCTATTTGCAATCCCCAATAGCCACGCCTTCCACCATCCCAGTAAAGGGTGAATATTTAAATTTGATCAAAGAGACAGACATTTACTCACATATTCATCAAGGATGCTTCAACTTTTGCCATGAAATCAGTCAAGCATCTGTCATCCATGTATCAAAACCCACAAATTCATTTTGGGACAGCAAAGAAGTTATCTATTTGAACAACTCAGCCTTGTCAGAGCAACCACCCTCATGCTAACCTACCCAACCTCAGAAGGCAGGTAGAGGTCCATGATGCAGAGATGGTGCTTTTATTTTTCAAAGAACCACCTAATAGAGAGATAACACCACACTATTGTTTAAGCCATTGCTATTAAAGGAATTTTGTAATACTCAAAGGAAAATGAAAGGATCACGAGAAAGCAAAATGGAAGCCATGTGCAAAGAAAACCCCACAGAGCACGTCTTCCACCTGAACCTGAGATGGAAGAGAAAGAACTGGGCATGGAACAGGCATGAGGCACACCACGGTGGAGCTGATGTTCATTGAACTAGAGGAGGCAAGGGAGGCTGAGCTGGCTGCGCTTGGTGTCCTACAGGCACTGGCCCTGCAGGGCTTGCGGTGGCTGTGCCCCAGAGGAACTCCAGGGAGGGTGTGCTTAGGGGTGTGCTGCCATCTCCTTCCTCTTCCACCTCCCATGAGGGTGCCTGGTCCCATCTGCTGCGCTTGGCCATGGGCTCCAGGCAGTCTGACAGCACAGCTGTGCACCCCTCACTCCCTGAGCAAATGTGCTTAAAAGCTCAGTTTAGCCTATTTTAGTTTACAGCATACCCTTCTGCTTTCAGCCCTTGCCAGAGCCAGGAAATGGAGAAGCCTATGCAAGAGCAAAAATAGTCAGTGGAAAATAAGAAGTTGTCCTAACCTTGAGGTTCTGACGAGGCTCAAATGTAAAAAAGTCCCTTTGGCTGAACCATTTTGCTTCCATTTTTTAATTATGTATTTCTGTGCTTCCCCTTCCCCCGCAATACTATTTGGTATCCCTCATTGCTTCTTGAAATAAATAATGATTTATTCAACAGCTTCAAATGCCACAGCTTGCTGCAAAAACATACCAGAAAGCGTCCCCAAAGGCCCTTAATGTATACAAAACCCAGTTCTGGCCTTCAGCTCTGCATCAGAGACTCTTCCCTGTTATTGTTAAACCATTCAAGGCCATTGTTCCACTGTTTTATTTATGATTATGGAAAACTTGAAGGGTATTCAGGGGAAAAAGAAGTGAATACATACAGTAAGGAAGGATGTGGCTGTTAAAACACAGCAGTAGGAATCAGGTAACGCTATCAAGAATTATTATGTGACCTGGAATAAGTCAGTGTCTCCATCTACAAAATGCGATTGTTTTCCTTTATCTGAGGTTTCACTAGACTCACTAGTAAAAGCACTTGGTTATTATTACAGTCATGTTCTGCATCCTTTTTTTTTCTAAAAAGGAATGTTTTTGGCACAAATCACTGGCAGTTATTCCCTTCTGTGGGGGAGATTCTAAATGGTAAATAGGAATTAGCTAGCAAAGGATTTTACTGTTCTAAACGGCCATCAGCACAGCAAATCCCTTATGGCTATTTACTGCCTGTCAGGGGTGAAGGTTGGGTTTGGCCTGATTTCTTATGCTACCTCCAAACAAAAAAAAAAAAAAAAAAATCACAAAAGCAGAGGGAAATAACACAAGATAATTGTGTAAACCTCCTTACTAAGGGAGAGGGAAGCTGCTCTGAAGTTGTGCAGAGCATTCATGCAGCCCTCCATGAGCTCTGTGTCCAGGGGCTGGTGCAGCACTGGCAGCCAAACATACACCTTACCTTCAATGAGTCTTCTTCAGCTCTTTCCCAGTGGTGTGGCCACATGGTGGAGGTAGATACTGACTGGGATGGAGACTGGACCATCAGCTGGCTTGGCAATATCAAACACCCCGCAGTTCCTCTCTACTGGCCCTGCGCTGAAAGCTGACGTTCAGACATCACGCAGACTGCACGTATGAGCTGTATTTCCCACATGGCGTGGAGCAGGCTCACAGTTGAGCTCAGGAGCTGCCTTCCTGAACAACTGCGACTTAGAAGTCCTGGGAGCAAAACCCAGGTCCCAGTCTCTGCACAGCAGATGAGTAACTGGGTTCTGAAGCCACAGGGAGAAGCAGAAATGACCTCTGCAATGGCAGGAGAACACCCTGCACAAGGATACAGACACAGTCCTATGAACCAGGAGACCTGTTCCCATTGCAGCTTTTCCAGCATCTCTTTGTATGGGTTTGACCCCTCATCTGAATTGTCCTCACCTGTTGTTCCCACATGAGCAGAAGGGAATCACCTCTTCCTCACTGAGAGACAGGAGTCTTCCCTTCATTAACATTGACCTTTTAAATACTTCTGCAGGCTGGGCTGGTATGGTGCAATACTATTTGATGGAAAAGCCCTGACAAAGGCAAGGCCCTACTTCTTCTATAAACAGAGTGCTGCTCTCATTATTTCTCTGTGGCAAAATAGTGGCCCTCAAAAAGGAAGCAAAACATGCCAAAACCTGCTCAGGAGATTTATAACTAGCTTGCAATGGGAGTACCTCCCACCCTCTCTCAGGCTACACCTTATTTTGCCCCTGGCTTCCCAGGCCTGTGGAGATCTCGCCGGTGAGGGAAGCTGTGCCACGAGCAGCTGGGTACCTTACCTGCAAGCCAAAGGGAGTTGGCAACCTTTCATTGCCCAGTTATGCCCAGAACCCACCTCCGCCCCCTCAGCCAGGCGCCGAGTCCCTGCAGGCCCAGGCAGGTGTGATTTCCTAACGTGCCTATGCAGCCATCGCTTATCACTCGCGTTCAACATGTGAACCTCAGCGGTGGGGACGGGTACCCAGACTGTAGCCTGTCAAAGGGCTGGAAGGGCACGGAGCTCCTTTAAAATTCACTGGGCTGGTATGAAATGCTAATGCATGAACAGCCCAGGGTGCCAGGGCACCTTGTCTGACACAGGCAACAGCAGAGCTTCTTGGCTCATTAAGAATGGGGCAAGTAATTTAATCACTGAATCCCACACTCTAGACTGACTAGGGTGATGCAGTTGAACCTGCAGAAGACTGAGGAAGGAGACCCACGTCACCAGAGACACCTTGAGAAATCACACTGCCGTTGCCACAACCCACTGCTACCTCATGGCACGTTTGTGGAGAGCTCTGTGTGAAGGGAAACCCATCTGTCTCCCACTGTTTCAGGTCTGGGTGAGGACACAAGAGCAATATCCTCTTCTCACGTTTAAAGGAAACTTTGCACCCACAACTGTTTTGGTGGCTGCAATACCCACGCTTGCCAGTGCTGGACATGTTACTAGTAATGTGTTCACCTCTTTGAAAGCTCAAGCACTTCTCATTTCCCTAGCTGGTGTGCGGCACATTGCTGTGTGGATGAGGAGACAAGATTGCCCTCTGACTGCAGACTGCAGTGCACTTCAGATTGGTGTCTGAGGATCTAATAACTTAAATGGACTAAGCTGGACCTGGTTGTCTGTCTGAGTAAGGCTGTGAGCAAAGAACCATTTTCCAATCAATACATAAGTGAAAGTGGCTATTTTTTTGCTCGCTTGCTTCTGATACCACATGGCTTTTGCCACTATGTGGGTGCCACATGCGTGGTAAGTCACCCTCACGATAGTAAATCAACATGATTTGAGAAAGGACTGAACGTGACTGCAGAATCATGGGGTCTGTGTGGAGACACTTACGTGTTTAGATCAACCTGTGCTTCAGGGTGAACAGGTTCCCCCATTGCTGAGGCCAGGAGGTAAAACAAAACTCACATTGTGTGGGCTGTGTTGATGCATTGAAACACTGGAAGGAGAAAAAGAGCTCAGCTTACCACCTGCACAGTGCTGGGATCTCACAGCTCTCTACAGGGTTGAATCAGCGGTTCTCTGCCCCTAGGAACTTTGTTAGACAGGATAGACAAGGCAGTATGCAGCATACAGCATATGACAAAAATGCAAATAGAGTGTCATGGTGGAAGGACTTCCAAATATGAAATCTAAGGAAAGCAAGGGTACAAAGAGAATGTGAAGGTCGCTCTTCCCAATTCAACTCATCACGGAAAAACATGAGAAGAGTGAAACAGGCTGTAAAAGGATAGGAGGGCGAAAAGGCAGAGCATAACTGTACACAGATTGCCTTGAGGGGCTTGCGTGCAAGCACTGAGGGAAGGGAAGCCAGTGGAGGTGCCGTTCCACAAGAACAGGCAAGGATGACCTGGATAGTTTCAACTCTGTGAATTCAACTGTGCTGACCAAGAGTAGTCAGAGAGAAGATAAAAACTAGCTGAGGCGAGATCATGAGCAACAGGGATGGCGAGCACAAATCAGACCAGGTTTGCCAAAACCAAAGCTGCAGGGTTTGGTTCAGAGCCCCTTCCAGCTGATGCTGCTCCCTCAGGCCGCGCTGGAGCCATGTTGTTCCCCAGGTGATGCACCAGGGATGAAGGTGCAGTGTGTCTGTCTTCCGTAGGGAGTTGTAACCACTGTACGTGTATGTGTGTGCGCTTTCCCTGCAGATACCAATGTCATACGATATATCCAGCTGACAGAGATGAAGCTCAGCAGATGTTCCCAGAGAGAGAAAGAGGCCTTGTGAAAATGAAGCCGCCTCAGCTGAAGTGCCCAAGGGGGAACATTTCCTTCCTAGAAGCTCATTTGGTGGATTTTCCTGTTTGCTCTGCCTCATCCTTATCTCCTCATCCATCCACTCTCCTTTGCTCTTCATTGAATCCCAGTTTTGGAAAAAAAAAAAAAAAAAAGAGACACGGACGCTGGATATGGCTGCTTGCCAACTGTGGTAATACCCCTTCCCCATGGCAGGAGAGCACAACGGCTACAGCCGGCCTTGTTCCACAACAGTGTCACACACCTGGAGTAGGCAATGCTGGGGGACCTTTCTGGTCCTGAGCTGACTGCCTATTACTCTTAGGGAAGCAACCCCCAGAACAACGACTTCCTGACCAGGCAAGTTGGAGACAAACAGTTTCTGCTCTGAGTGATCACTGGAGCTTGGAAGAGCTAAGAATGCAAGAGAGCCACTGGTCATTTCACAGAGGCCTTTTTACCATCAGTTCCCTCTGCCTGCTTCTCCAGTGTGTGTTACTGGTCTCCAGTGAGAGCTCACATGCTCCCAGTCTAATGCCAGTGAAAACTTGTTTCTAAACATCCTCTTAATGAAAGCACAGAGCACCCTACAACCCCCCCGCAGAGCTGTCCCGGTGCCGGAGGAGAAGGCTGTGGTCTACCACAGAACGCTGAACAGACTGTGAAAGCATGGTGTACAGTGTGAGGGAAAAACTGTGAAATAATTCATTAAAGGCAAATAAAAATTATTAATAGGCAACAAGTCCAGGCATTGCTTTTCGAAGGGACCTCTTGGGTTCCCCGGGTCCAGACAGGCAACGTTGTCTAGTGGGGGGCAGCATGAGGTGGGGAACAAGGGACGTCTCCATTCTTATCTTGGCTCTGCCAATGCCTTGCTGTGTGATCTTAGGCAAGTCACTTAGCCTCTCTGTGCCTCGGTTTCCCCATCTGTACACTGGGGATAATAATACTTCCCTACCTCGCAGGGGTGTTGTGAGGATGTGTTAGTTAATGTCTGTAAGTAACAGTACAGTGATGTACAGTGCTAAGTATTATTAGTACATTGGATTGAGGTCTCGACTCTCCCACCTTGTGTTGGTGCTTCCTGCGTCCTGTTTTTTCTTTTGTAGGAGAACCTGGTGCTGACAAACAGGGCAGCACCAACAGCTTTGGAGCCTATTTCCCACAGGGCCTGTTCAGACCTCCTACTGCAGTCTGATTCCTTCTAAGAGCTCAGGCTCCTCGGCTCAAGGGTCCTTTTCTGAAACTGCCAGTAATGGGAACAGTAAGTTCCACAAACATGTTTCCAGTGTGACTGCCCCATCAGCGGCCCATAGGGACCCGCTGCCAGTTGCAGGATGTACATGAGTAATCTCATCCCATGGCCATCAGTGTGAAGTGAGTGTACCTAGAGATACTTCACTTGGTCCTCAGGTGCAACATGGAAACTGAAACACAGAGAGCCGAACAAACAAAGTTCAGCCAAGTGCTGCATGCTTTGGTCCCAGCGGATGTGGTGTCCGCAGACAGTTGGCTATGTCATCCCACATTCCAGCTGTGGTATTTCCCCACATTTTTCTCTAGCCAAAATTTGAAAGAGTTGATAGAGAAACATCAAGAGAAAAGGCAAATCTCTATCATTGTCTCTGAAAAAAATGAAGTCATATTCTTCAGCTCAGGGACACATCTAGCCCACAGTGGGGATATTGAAGAGACCATCTTAAGGTGGCATATAAATCTCGGAGATAAGGTGGACCTACATAAGTTGTGAGAAACTTGTATTACCTGTCATGGCACCATGAGTTCATGTTTCTCTGGTGGGTGGTGGAAAGTGGCTGCTTCTCAAAATTGAGAACACTGTGTGCAGCTACTGTGAAGGAAAGGGCTGTGTCCTGATGGCAGCACAGTCACCTTCTTCAGACGGTCCATGGTTCATACATCTGCGCCAGAAATAGCAAGCACCTCTGCCCACCACTATGCATGTCTAAGCAATAAACGAGGCTACAGCTGCTGCTAGAAGAACAGCTGAGTTAACGACAACGAGGACAAATGAGGGGAATTGTGTAGGTAATTGTTAACTAGACCAGAAAAAAAGGTTAGGCAGAGGTGTGCTTGGGTGCACGTAAGGTGTACCCGGTACTGTATAAAACACAGAGCTAATAAGATTTCAGTTCTCAAGTGCATGCAGTCCTCCATATCCTAAATACATCAGAGCACGCAGCAACTTCAAATAGAGATGACTCCCCCTTACTTGATATTGCTCATGACAGTCCATGCCACAGCTGCGTGTGTCTCTTCATTAGGAGTGAAATGAGGATTCATCCTGCAGGCCATGTAGGAGGGGAAGACACCACCTACACAGTGTCTGCCCCAGGAAAGCTCAGGCAAGCAGAGGCAGGCTTGTTACTCATGACCTTAATATAAGAGAAAGGGCATTTTCCAGTCACTGGAGATGTAAGTCCACGGACTGTCACTTTGTCTGGAAACAATTTTAGCCCTCGCGATGGCTTCGCTGACATACTGTCACTGCATCAGCCCCATGTATACATTAGTATAAAAAGGGCACAGCAGGCTCCAAAATACAGTCTCCTCGGTTCTCAGCCTCTTTC